GTATTTGTTCAATACCTCTTTGCATTTTAATACTGGTGGAAAGGTAAAACGCTGAATTTGATATTTAAAAAAGTTGAGCCAATTTCAATATTCTGTGAACGCAGTTGTTCTTAGATTTTGGCCCTCTAAAACGCTGATCTAGTCCGGCTTTTGTGCCAGACAAAAAAAAACCATCGGTAGAACTGTGAAATAATTTAGGAATATAAAATATCAAATAAAATAAAATTGAAATTAAATTCGCAAATATTTTCATTGTTTTGGTATTGATGTTAGAATAAACATGTTGGAGTGGATTTAGGCGCAAAAAATTTTGAATAAAATTTTAGCTTACTCTGTAGTGATGCTCTGATAGCAACTGTCAAAGAGGGCACTTTTGATGCTTGTGTTTTGTTAACACTGTTTGCGATAACGGCAGTGTGCACGTCTCACGGACCAAGCGACCGGCATGCGATTCCGAAAAGACGCAATTGAAGCATTGCAAGAAAGTGCGGAGATGTACATAATTCAGACATCGCAATGGACAAACGTTGAAGACAGAAGATTTGGCATTGACACAATTTCTGTGTCCTCATTGAATTATCATTCAAATGATAATTCGCATCCGCACTTGAGGGTTTCATTGGTTTGATATCGAAAATTTTGAAGAGAATTTTTTTTTTCCGAAATGTAACAATAATTTTTTTCGTTCCCAATAAAGTGCGTTGAAAATTGAAATTCATTGAAGTTTAAAATTCATATTCGAAGGTGTTATTTTCCAGTTTTGCGTTAATTATCAGTTCTAAAATCGATTTACCAGCATTCATTGTGTCAACGGCTTTGTTGTGTTTCACGTACGTCACCATCCACTCATTGGATGAGTTCTGCGTGGTTTGTGGTTGTGTACAATACAATTTCAGTCGTCTGTTTTTGTTGTTATTTCCAGTAAAATTAATAGAGATGAATCAGATGTAATTTCAGCGAGCTGATTAAGTCGCTTTTAATATACCAATAATGATGCTTGATGATGATGGATCGATTGTGTACGGCAATACAGGAAACATGTTTCGTCATTCACATGTATCACTCACACACACACACACACACACACGGAAAGAGAAAACGTGCCTGATGGAAAGATATATTTTTTTTCTTGTTAGATTTGTGGTTTGACTGTTTTTATTCTCTTTCACTTGTTTCGCCCGGTTGACACTGATCGATGTGACTGATAAATGAGTATGTATTTGTGTGCATATATATTTTTACAGTGGGCGACAATGGGTTCAGTGTACGAAATGTGACGGTAAGTAAGCTGACAAACGCGAAACGTAAGTATTCGAATGATCTGAGATTGATGCATTAAGCGTAACAAATATTACACTATTTAAGAGGCTTCTATGAATGTGATTGGTCAATTAGATTGGTTTTAGCGCGGAAAATCACTTACAAGTCACGGCCAATACGCACGGGCCCTTGTGAAAGGGAACAAAAGACCATCCGATTGGCCAAAAAAATAAACAAAAATGTGAACGAGGCCACTAATTACTCGCATCTTGAGAAATATGAAGCTTTTTGAAGCACTAATAAATGCCAGCATAATGCCTGTTGATATGAAACAGAATGAAATTGCGGTTGCGATGATTAAAACGTTGCACGCCATCGAATGCGGAATGGTTATGGTACCAAAAAATTTATTAAAAATCACAAAAGAATACATCCATCAATGGCGTACATCGCGAATATACAAAAAATAAACAATAATTCCCCATGTGTAATGATACAACGTGCACTATTTAGATATAAAAATATACAACAGGTTTTTTTGTTCCAAACCCCACAGCTCCCTTTACTTTGATAAATTGCAAAAGTTGGACTCTAGCCTTTTTGTACACACACACCCATAAAAAAAGTTGTGTTTTTGCCACACAAAGAGATCACAATAAATGAAAACAATGCAAAATATTGTCGAAAAATATGAAAATGGTGATTTGGCCAAGCCATTCACCGCCATTTATACAACGCAATATCTATACTGCATTGTGCGCTCCAGAACAAGTTTCCCGTGTATATTCTTCCTCTTGCTTTCCCGCTCGCTCTTTTGTTCGATTTGTTCGCGATTGTGCGCTGCAAACATCTCATACCATCCTACCGACAAAATCGACGAAAGTTGAAAACAATGCAAAAAGGGGATATTTTAACCATAGACTTTGCAAAAATTAAAATTCGGTGGCTTTTTTCCCTCAGTTTGTTTATGATGGAATCAAATGATTTTTTTCGTTCGAGTTTTAATTTTTTTTCACTCTCTCTCTCTCTTTCTCTCTCCCTCTGATCGTTACGGTATAATTTTGTTGTTGTTGTTTGTTTGCAAGCAAAAAGCGCACACTTTGTGTTAGATTGAATTACGTAGAGATTCCGGTGTGCAACATGACGTATGACAAAAGTTATGGTATTAATGGTGGACCGGCAAAAATGAATAAGCGCGTCCAATGTGTGCGTCACCAACCACCGAATTTTCAGCTGTACGCTCGTTCGTGTTTTTCAATCATTCGCCTTGCTGCGAACTCACGCCTGAACATCATCGCTACGACTTTTTAATTTATACGTTTCTATGGCATTTATCGCAGTGCATTCTTGTGGGGGGGGGGAGATGTGTTTGTTTGTGTGTGTGTGTGTGTGTTTTTTTTTTGTCTGGGGAGAAGAGATGACGCTTCGCATACATGAACCCTCATTTTCGGTCGCTTTTTTCCACCGAAAAGCACTTGATTGAGGCATTATAATGGTGATGATTGTACGATTGTTGACTAAGCCCACTGTGAAACAAGTGTATCTGTTGTGCTCAAACGAATCAAAGATTTCAATCTTCTATCACTTCAGTTTTCTTCTTGTTTGATTCATCTTTTCATTTATTTATTTTTTCGGCAGCAATATCTTGCACCCTTCAAAACTCAACAAAATAATCATTTCAATTCGTATTTCTCACATTTTTAGTATCTGCATTTCAATGGACTTTTATACCATTATAAAAATTTGATTTGATTCATAAAGTGCCGTGAAAAAATTGATAATTCACTTGTTAGTCGAAACGAGCACTTGAAGGCTGTGAACCAGAAAATTTTCTTGTTATCAACCAAATTTGATTATTTGTTTGAATCAGTTGGAATCTATGCGTATGGAATGGCACCTGTATCAGCATTTCATGGCGGCTGATGATTAGAATTTCGATATAATATCCACACACACACACACACATATTCCAATGCCATTGCATCAACTCATCTTTATGGCAATTGATATGGAAATTGGTGTGCTCGACAAAATAAACAGAGAATTGCTTTTGCAAATGTGTGAAATTTGCGAAAAGTTTCAACCAACTTCAATCAAAAACATACACCGATTTATTTATTTACCAATCAGATTGGATAAATAATTGAGTCAGAGAAAGTCGAAGAAAAAATTCGGCTTGAAAATTGAAAAAGTTTTATTGAAAAATTTCCATAAATCACGTTTACGTAAAAGTGCGAATTGTCTTTAGCATTGGGCATGCATCAATGGATATACCTATGAAACATTGAATCGTTCGATAAACCGATTGATAAATTACAATCGTTAGATTGGGCATTTCTATACTGAACACTCAGCGGACTGGAAACTCACGGTTTGTTGAGTTTTCTGCGCAAAACTAGAGTCGCGTCTGTATTACTTGTATCGCAAAAATATAGTAACTGCTTTTAATTGTTCAAGTGAACAGTTGAATGGACGATTAATGTGTGCAATTCCTATGTATTTAACTCCATGCGTGTGTGTGTTTTTTTCGTTTCATACAATCCCAGATAAATCTGGCTACTTTTTGTTTGGTTCTTTTTGTCTGTAGTTGCATTGTCTGGTCAAGTGAAAGAGTATAAATCATCATATGCAAAGTGAATTCGTGCTTATAATCATTTTTGCAAGAATCGTAATGGAGCGATTTTTTGTTCTGTGGAATGACATTTTTTATGTTCTGCAAACACGTTCGAGCCACCGAAAAAATGCCTCATTTGCATTTTTGTGCCCGATTACGCTCTGTGTGTGCCACGCTCCCACTTCTGCTTTTTTTCAATTTAGAATTTATGAAAATATCCTACTGTTTTCAATTCGTTTTTCATTATTTTCTCTCTCTCTCTCTCTCTCTCTCTCTCTCTCTCTCTCTCTCACCACTTGCATCATTCCCATGCAACTTTGAACATGTGCTTTTTTCTACTTGAATTCTTTGGCTTATTGTAATTTGAATACATTATTCCGACGTACTTTTCTGCTCTTTCTCTCATTTTGCCGCCATAAAATAATAAATGATTGAATGGGGCGATTTTCAATTCGTATCGATCTGACATGAATTGAAATAGTAGTGATAGCTGCACTGGCACTGGTGGAAACTCATTGAAACCGCCCGCTTTAAATTACGCTTTTATGCAGAAGCAAGAACTTGAGACAAAATTATATATGAACTGTTGCGACAAACAAATTCCCTCAGAATATTTTAGTTTCAAAGTGCGATATGAATTTTTTTTATATAGAGTTTACAATAACAATTCCACATGAAAAAAACTTTATGATGCACTTTAAAACTGAAATATTCTGGGGGAATTTGTTTGTCGCAATGGTTCATATGTGCTTAAATCGCTGAATGGAAATCTTCGCCGAAAATCCAATTGAAAACTATTTATATTCAAATACTTTTCAATAGTTTAGCCCACGACAGCTATTGCTGCTGAGTTCCGTTGCATCAAAAGTACATTTCGCTGTTTAACTTTGACCAAACATAAGATTCGCAACCAATTATTCTCCGACAAGTAAGCTTGTATTTCAAATTAATTAGAATCAATGTTTAAATTACCGTACCCTCTTTTTGCTAATAAAGAAATCATTTTTAAACTAATTATTATTATGATTGGACCAATACCAATTCATTCGTTACTAATTCATTGAACACAAATCAATTTGTGTACTACTTACAAATTTGTGTCAAAGAAAAATGAACACAATTCGAAAGGAAAGCAGTACGATAAAATCTACCAATTGTGTGTGATATAAAAGTGGTCAAACTAAGTGTTTGCACATTAATCACAAACTCTTTAGTTTCGATTGTTGCTTCATTTACCAGTAAAAACGGTTTTACATCAAAATCGCTTAGCATGCGTGCCACATTCAGCATTATCTTCGGAATTTTGTTCATAATTTCATTCATCACGATCGCAACTTCTGAATGTAAGTAAACTATGTGTCAAACATTGACATTTGAAATGAACAATAAGTGCATTCTTTTGATAATATTTTTGATTGAAAAAAATGGCCAAATATTTCACGTTGCATCTCATTCCTTCCTTTTCACACTCTATACACCTATAGCTAAAGGCAAATGTTATGATTACAATGGTACATGTAGAAACAAGTGTTTTGACCCTTTAACATGGATAGATACTAAAGACTGTCAGACAAAGAAACACAAATGTTGTCTTGCATCGGAGAAAAGGTGTGCGAAAGATTATAACGGTGTATGTGCGGACAGATGTGGCCACATGAAAGTCGTTGAAACGAGAGACTGTTGGTTAGCCAAAAGATTATGCTGTTATGATTGATTGAATCGGAATTAATGCTAGAATTATTTATTGAATTGACACTTCCAATTATTGACATATATTGTATTTAAATTTAAAGCATCAACAAAGAAAATATACTTGAGTACACGTTTACAGCGATTGTTGGATTATTTTTTATTATTTTGATTCGGTTAAATTTAAGAAGATCTGTGAATGAAAATACTTGATTGAACACATTTGAGAAGAAAGAAGAATCGCACTTTTTATCAACATAGAACCGCTACAGCCTCCTAAATGGAGTAGATGTAATTTCACATCGCAGTTATGTCTTGTAGCATCAGGTTATGCCGGAGAAACGGTGGTTAATATTGATATTCTGGTTTTTGAATGCATATTCGTTATTACGGAGAGGTTTTGTTTTGTGAGAAAAAATCGAAGAAAATTGTGAAATAAACCGTAACGAAATTAATTCTACACAATTGTATTGTATGATTCACATATACAGTAAACAATCTAATTAGGAACTTTCGATCTGGAGTCAATTCATTAAAAAGAAATTAAATTGAATTTAATTGCTGGAGAAAAATAGCACGATACAGTTTCGATAAAATCAATGAACGTCAATCCAAAGCAGTCCAATTTTTTAGATCTGCACATTCGTCAAAACCATTCAACATGCACACCAAAACCTACTTCATTTACGGAATTTTGATCATAATTGCCTCTATGCTTGCATCTGTCCAAGGTTCGTAAATTTATTTTCCACCGTTCGAATAAGATTATCAAGTGTTAAGATTATTTACTATAAGATTATTTAGTGTTCATTTTCTTCGACTTGTGTATGCCTGCAAACTAATCATTATGATTTTCTAGTGCTGCCTAGGACCAACATGACGTGTAATAAATACTACGAAGGTACGTGCCGTCGAAGCAAGGAATGTCACACACTTTATACAAATGCTTCAGATTGTCGTGAATTTGAATATTGTTGTATGGGAGCGATAAAAACAAAACAATTTTTGCTATCAGCAAAGGACTTGTTGTTTGATACATGAAATAATAAAAAAATGTTAAGTTAAATTCATCTCTGCCCATAAATTTACTGATCATTTTAAAAGCCAATGCCATTCTGATAAAAAAAAATGCATTTCAAGTCCTGTGATTTACGATCCAACAAAATTTATATTACGCCACAAATTTGTGATAACTTTTTCAATGTTTTTCATGCAAATATTTCTCATAATTCCATTACGCCAGTTAAATATTGTTGGATTGGATAATATTGAAATAACTGTGAACTTTTGATCAGTAACCACTTATCGGAACCCATTTTCTAACAGCGTACGATCCAAAGAGAGGTTCCAAGTTTTTTTGATGACTTTTTGTGTATTTTTCTTTATTTCCTGGGTGAAAATTTTGAAAACTCATTTGATGGACATCTTCACAAATCAACAAACATAACAACACCCGCAAAAGCAATGAATATTCCACACGTACATTTTTAGAACATTTTTAGCACTTTTAGCACTTGGCCTGCAAAGCTCTCGAGGAGTACTAAAAAGTTTCTTCAGACACTATCGCCCTATTTCAAGCAGTTGAGAAGTTTCACGACTTCGAAAATGCACGAAAATACCGTTTTATAGCGAAAAGTGATTTTGAGACAATAAAGTGGACTGGATGTGGATTTTTCGAGTTGATCTGTTCAGAAGTGTTGCTCAGCTATACTCTATATATATAGTGTTTTATTGTCTACCTAAAAACAAGCCGACATTGTTCAAAATACAATTTTCAAAATTTCAAATAACTATTTACAAAGAACAACAATTCTCAAATAATTCAGTTTTCTCAAATTCAAAAAGGAAGAAAAACTTTTGTCTAAATCAAAAGCAATAGATGCGCAAATAAATGGCAAAATGGCAAAATGAATGCAAATAGAAATTAATATCAAAGTGTTATGAATTAGCAAATCAATTTTAAATTTACAAGTCAAAAAAGGCAATATAAAAAACAATTGGTAATTTCATTCATTTGTTTGGTAGCTTCATTTCATCTCCCTTTCCAAGTAATTTATTCGGATGAAATCGTCATTCTGATCACTGGCACTTCATAGCAGGAATCGCTTCTCAACTCTCCTCTCAACTTCTCGGTTCAATCGCATTCTACGCATCGGACTTCGCTCCATCAGGGCAACCATCAACTCTGCAGAATGAACATTCCATAAACTTTTTGTTATGAAAGATACATATAAAAAAAATTATCACCTGGTTTGGTGATTTCATTTTATCCTGATAAAAAGAAATCGCCAGAAACAAAAATTCTCCTCATCAACGCTACATCATTCAGTCCAGCATGTTCAATGGGCCGAAACATGCATCAGGTAATCTCATGAGCTTCGATTTGAATTCAAATGATGAGATTGTTGGATCAATGAATAGGGCTGAGAGGTTAAATGCTCTGCAAGCCCAGATGAATGATGAATTCCGTGCATATTCTGTGCTACAGAATGGGATTCGAATGAATTCTGGATTTCTTAGGGTTCTGACACCCGTATTTAGTGACCTTTCGCTTCTAATGCTTGCAGAGTTGTATCTTCCAGTGATTATTTTGTGAATGAGAAGGATGGCCGCATTAATCCTTCGTCTTTGTAATGAAGCTAAGTCCAATTCAGCACACCTGATCGAGTACGATGGAAGCACGAAGTTGTTTTCCGCTCTAGTTTTGTAGTCTTCATGCAAATAAATCACAGCTTGGCGTTGAACACTTTCGATATAGTTAGTGTATGTTGTATTACGTGGTGCCCAGATTGACGATGCAAACTCCAGATTGGATCGTACTAATGCGAAATACAATAGTTTTGCATTGTCCAGATCAAATTTGTTCCTGCACAGTCTTTTGACGAGGTGGAGCATTGCTGTCGATTTGCGTTTAATGTATTCGTGGTGTATCGTGAAACTGAGTTTGGGGTCCATATGTACTCCCAGGTCCCGAATTTGAGTTACTCTCTTCACTTTCTGTCCGTTAATGAAATAATCATTCAAGATGGGATTTCGACGGTGTGAAAATGTCATGACACAACATTCTGAAATGTTCAGCTCTAGACCGTTTTCCTTACACCACGCTAAGAACTTGTCGATACTCTCTTGCAAAAGGATTGAGTCTTCTGGCTTGACAATGATGTGCGCTTTCTTTTTGTCGTCAGCGAAGTTAAATGAGACTGTTGGATCATCATTTGAGTCAGAGTCGTTGAAAAATGCAGAGAAAAAAAGCGGACCAAGCACTGTTCCTTGCCCAACCGAAGATGGGACTTCAAATGCATCCGAAGTTGCCGACCCCACACGTACGAACTGCTTACGACCCGCGAAGTATGATTTGATCCAAACAAGTATTTGATTGCAAAGTGGGAAATTGGCCAGTTTACGTATTAGCAGAGCTTGATTGAGCTCTGGCTACAATATTGTCGAACACAGTGAGTGAAAAAATGTATACTTCTCGAGCTTTGGTCGAAAAACTAAAAAAATTGACTATTTTTTCGACATTTTGCCCCATGGCTCCCACCAGATGTAATTTTTGGGTATAATATTTTACTATTTCCGCCTAAAATTGATCGCCAAACATTTTCTTAGTACATACCAAGGCTATAAAACCTTCTCTAATGGGATAAAAATGGTATTTGTTCAATACCTCTTTGCATTTTAATACTGGTGGAAAGGTAAAACGCTGAATTTGATATTTAAAAAAGTTGAGCCAATTTCAATATTCTGTGAACGCAGTTGTTCTTAGATTTTGGCCCTCTAAAACGCTGATCTAGTCCGGCTTTTGTGCCAGACAAAAAAAAACATCGGTAGAACTGTGTAAATAAATGAATTTGAAAGGTTTTATCATGAACCGTACAATACGTTTGAGTCACGCATCATAGCGGATTTCGAATGTTATGCAATGGATACTTTGCATACGAGATATATGTATTTTCGACATCACAGTGACGAGCTATTGTTTTTTTGAAAACGCAGTGGGGTACCAAAGGGATGTCTAAAAGAGGTTTCCAGAATTCAAAAATTTTCTCCAAAATTGGTTGGGGAGACGATTTCTGAGTGATTTAAATATATTGAATTAATTTCTGGCTAATTGAATGATATTACCATTGATAAGAGCGCTACAGGATAAACGTATAACTTATAGATATGTTTTTTTCTAAAAATACTCATTTTATCGCAGATTTTTCTAAAACTCATTCTCCAGAAACTTTTCATCCGGAACCCAATTTAAATTTGGAATGTTGAAATCGCCAGTCAGTATAATTGTGTCCTTTTGGTTTGACATGTGGTACAGAGCGCGTATCGCACGAAAGTGAGCGGTGTAAACATTTTCATCCGAGTGTGGTGGGACGTATGCGTTGTAAATGAACACATTGGAGTTGTTCGCTGTTTGAATTTTTACACATACACATTCGATGTTGGCTGTACCAGTCAATACGATGTCATTGCAAATGAGATGAGAGCGAACTGCAATTAGCACTCCGCCACCTCTTTCGTAAATTGAATTTGTTTCACAGCGATCCTTTCTGAACACATTGTATGTTTCATCGAAATATTCAGAAGAATTATGGCCACTGGTAAGCCATGTCTCCGTCAGCGAAATGATGTTATATTCAGTAGCTGATGAATTGCAGTAGTAGAATTTTTTCGATTTGGAGCGGAGACCACGAACGTTTTGAATGTACATGCTGGCTGATGACAGTACTGAGTTGATGAATCACGTTGATTTGTGGTGCATTTGAGTTGCGTTTGAAGAAATTGGTGATTTTTGGTTGAGATCGGCGACTGCGAGGATTTGGAGTAGGAGAAAAGCTCAAATTAGGTGGTGCAGAATCATTTCTCGCTCGGCGAGAACACATACTAGTTTTGAATGAGTTACCTGGAATCGCTGGTTTGGTGGATAAGATGATCACGATGGTGGTGGTGGTGGATAATTTGCTGATGGTTACAGATCCGATTTGCTTTTCCAATCATTAGCCGTCCGTTGACAGATGTGACAGGTCGATAAAATCGTTTTTTGAGGCCGTAGCTGAATCATCCATTTCCATTGTCTCGGGATTTCCACTGCTTTTGTTGGCCAACTCATTGATTTTGCTTGAAACGGAATTGCCAAGCGGTTTTCTT